CACCATAACTCGACTTTGTCTAACACATGAACCAATGAATTGTAATTTTCCTAACAAAGACTGAACTTCCTTTAAAGTGGCATACTTTTTATCTAACCACAACTTGATCAAGTCCCTTATTTCAACCAGCCTTTCATCAGTAACTCCAATAGTAAGATCATTAATATAATATCCCTAAAAAGGTCATAATTTGAGATGGAGGATTACTTTTCTTCATTGATTCTTCAATTCCACATTTCTGCAATAAAACCGCTAGAGTATTATATGCAAACCAAGCATCTTTGGAATTTTCAGCACCTGCCAGATCATCTAGATGATTTAAAATAGGTACTCCCATCGTAAACATCATATATGCATTAGTCACTCTCTGACATATCTGAGCAGATGATCTACAACCCATAGTCAAAACAGTATCACAAAAAACATGTTTTTGCCATACATAAGCTACCAAATTATAATTGGAAGGACAAATACTTATTTGTCTATAAGCTCTAGATAAATCTTTTTTATACATCAAGGCACCTTTACCTTTTGCCAATACTAGTTTAACAAAATCATCAATCTTAGGAAATACCAAAGAAACAGGATCACCCAAATAACTATCCTTTGGCACATAATTATTTACTGCACATTTTGTAACACTGTTTAAATCTAGTATAACCCTTCTATCCTCAATTGTCTGTTTTGGGACTGAATTTAAGGGGGAAATAAGCAGATTTGAACTAAAGGGATTCTTTTTAAATGGACCAATAATAGCATTACACTCTAGTTCTTTTCGTAAATAACTGGTTATCTGATCTGGAAATTCTTCGGCACCCTTTATACTGCCAAATTGCTTTAGTAGAAGGCAATATTTGTTCATTCCCTTCAAAACCTATTGGGAAACCAAATTCTAATAAGTCACAAACACCTAAATCACTGTAGTTAAAATGTGATAAAATTTGACGCATGAAACATGTATTGATCTTTTTATTAACTGGAATCCTGCATCCTTGAAAGTTATATTTCCCTGATCTTTAACCAGTTCATGTATTCGAACCAAATTAACTGTTTCACTAGAAAACTCTGATGGGTTTAAGACTTTACATACCTTACAATATGTGAAATGGGAACACAATAAGGAACTTACGGGCTTATTAACCTGACAAATATTGTTGTAAAAAGACTTTTCATTATCTCCTTTATAACCATTACTGTTTGAAAAACAAAAGCTTGGTATAAATTTGTCAACAATATCATTGTCTTTATCAAATAATGGTAACTGTGACCACAGTCAAACTGATCCAGAATATGGACATGAAGATGAGCATTCGGAATGTTATAACCTTTTCTTATCTTTTGACCAACAAGCAGCGCAAATATGCTGTGCCAAACGCATCTTTCCACGGAAAACTAAAGAATGAGGACCTTTATGAGCACATTTATTTTTTTGATAAAAGGAACAAAACCAAACCGTTTTTTCCTCATCAACTTCTGGTGAAGTTCTTTGTCGGACACGAAAGTTCGAAACCCTGCTCGTCGAACTCACTGGAGGATTGGGCTTGTTCAAAATGCAAGTTTCTAAATAATGAAAATCATCCCCCATGTCTTTTCACCTAATTCGACTTCCCTCAAAACTGCAGCATAGAAAGAACGTATATCTGAAAACTAAAATGAGAATTTAAGTACATAATACGTTTCAATAAACACAAACGACCTTTCTTTTCTGTATTATCTATCTGTGGATCTATTATAATCTCTAACTCCCCGGCTACAAATAAATTGAATGGCAGATCTTCAAAGGCAATATTTTGACTGACATATTCATAACGTTATTGAGAATGGGGATATTTTTGAGAGTTTTTTACAGTATCTGCAGATTTAGCCTTGATTCCTGATGTTTTCGTGCTTAGACGGTTTCTCTTCTTCTTACCAGACGAACTTCTAACAGCAGAACCAACACTTGTCTCACTATCACTTTCAATATTTGACAAATCAGACTCCGAGTCAGACTCAGAATTTAACAAGCCTAATTTCTTTAAATGGCTTTGTACCAATTTATTCAAATCCGGCATTTGACGTAAACTATTTATGTCCAACTTATCATCACTAGACTCTGTACTTAAATGTTCATCTTTGACTTTATAATTGGACAAAAAGGCAGCAGGTTTAGAGGAAATGCCCTTACCCTTTTTCAAAGAACGAACTCGTCTTTGTTTTTCTTCTAACTGCATTCGCAGTTCATCCTTCTTACGTTCTTGCAACAAACGTTTTTCTTCGGCATCCATTTCATGGATCTGTTTCATCATGAAAGCCATTTCGTCATCTTCTCCCTCATCCGATTTGGAAGAAACATTCTCATCCGAAATCAATTCGCCAATTTTTCCAGGAGATGCATAAAGGGGAAGAACTCTGGCGTCCTCTTCGATTTCGTCTCCTGAATCAGTCGTACCCACTGTACTGAGCAGTTTATAGTTCAACGGTTTCTTATTTCTGCTAGACATCATTGAGACATACGCAGACACAAAACAAGAATGTATGTGACGATTAAATAAAGTCAAGAATTCGTCACAAAAAAAACACGTTACTGGCATGCGAGCAGTTCCCGTACAGAAGCAGTACCCGTATTTTTCATTTAAACGCTTGATTTTTACTTGCAATCTTCAAAAATTCATTTCAAATCAAGCAGATGCATAAAAGAGACAAAATCTAAGTGTCAGTTCGGCAGTACGTATAAAAGTCTCATTTTAAATCACTTTCACCTGTGCGTTGTCAAAACGTGACCTTGTTTTCTCTGGGGGATTCCGTCCTTGTGCGCATGCGCTAAAATACTTACACGTGAGGCCTGTTAAAGGGTTTTCCACTAATACCACCTGTTTACAGATAAGTAGGCAATGTGGTGAAAACTTGTTTAATTATCAGAATTTTGATCAATATTACTATATTAAATAATTTTATGGCTTTGATGCGTAAAATATCATGCACACAAGCATGCCATTGCATGAGAATGCGTTGGGGTAACGGTACCGGGTAATTGATACCAGCGTTTAGTCTACGCTCTATTTCCTGAATTACATCTATTTATCTCTTAGAAAATGGTCTGTTCAACAATTATAATTGAAAAATAGGTCCGATATAACAAAATTGTATAATTATAATGGGTTAAATTGTATGTACGGGAACTACTTCTCTTCATACAAAATAATGGATAATTTGGGTACCCCATTTGAGGCCTCATAACTAAGGGTTATTCTATGTTTAGAACATGATGGAATTTCCATGATTTGTGTGACGAGCTGAATAGTGATGTGTAACATTAAAATTTTGGTGAGTGGGCGTAATAAAAAATAATGTTTAAGTAACTACGACTTTTGTACGGGAACTGCTCGCATGCCAGTAAACAAAATGTCACCAAAATTTGTCAGAAATGACCAATTTTGCACAAAATTGCAAATAAGTCACCAAAGGTGACCAATTGTTAATAGATATTATTCAAATATATTTCTTTTAGATGTGATACTCCAATAAATAAAAAATGACAGACGAAATACGTCCAAATCTTCGAACTTGATTTTTAACTTTTCTTAAACTAGACAGCTAGACAACAAAGGCTCGAATGACTAGAAGTACAAAATTGGCGCGACAATAATCTTAAAATAAACGACCAATCAGAAAACAGTTCACCAAAGTCACGGTTTACTCGAAATAATTAGTTATTTTAGATCTAAAATATATCCATTATGATAACTGTTTTACACCGTAATAATTGACTTGTCCGCTGCGTCACTAATTAAGTGTCCTAAACGGACTGTACTTACTGGTTATCAATAAAAAATATTCTGTTTTTATACTGACATGTTTATACTACTGTCCTAGGATGATAATTTGGTCTTAACGGTACATGGGAAAGTCCAAAAACGGGGTTATCTGGATTATTATCCGGTAATGTAAAAGTAAATACTTACATATACTATATTGCATAATTCTTACAGTATCGTTTGTATATTACCGCTATGGCTCTGCTGGTAGATCGAAGTACTTGTAACTTTTAATGTTTTGTACCCATAGGTTCGAACCCCACGTAGTGCAATTTTATAACCACAGTTTTTCTTTTCTTTTTGCTCTGTTTTTTATCATTATTTATTTATTTTTCGTTTTTCTTTTTGTTTTCTTCTTATAATATATATCTTATAGTATAATATTTTTTTATTTCTATTCTATTTTCTTTTTTGTATTTTTCGATCGCAGTGTAATAAAATATTCGATCTCATATTCATGTATGTTTATGAAAAACCGGTCAAATTTATTTTCTGAACAATTGACTGTTCTGAGGTAAAAAAAAGTGTAGTACCAGAAGTCGAACTTTTGCCTGTACGGGTAAAACACATTACCGACACGGTTGCTCCACCTACTGCGCTAACAAGACATACGATAACACGTAGATTTATTTTCATTTTTATGGGTTGTGGCATTGATCTGCCTAACCTATTTTTCGCACTGTTATTGGTCTTTGTTATGTAAACAAAGGCTCAAGTTATCATCCTAGGACAGTAGTACTTTTTATTTTTGTAATTGAATACTTATGTAGATATTTAAACTGTAATCTTCATAACAAAAGATAATTAGGAAGTGTTCGTGTTATATCATCATCGATTATTGTTTTACCAAAATACAACAAAAAGGCAGTAATTGTTATCCCAAACTACAATAAATAAAATTTAATTTAGTTTTGAATTATTTTATTTTAGATTGAGCACATAAAATGATAAATGAATCACTTTATCTTAAAAAAAAACAACATTTATCGCCACTTATTATAAAATGAATTAGAATAATACCGTCTAAATTAATAATTTGACAGAAACACAATCTGACAACAATTCCATTTAAAATATCGCTATAACTAACATAAATTGTCTATATTATTATGATTACGATTCTAAGAATAACTACATGTATAAGAATGTGTTTAAATCAATTGTTTAACTTCTACAATAACTTGTACGTTTCATCATTTACAGATGTGGCTATAACACAGATGTAACAAATCAAGAAGTAAACAAAATGGCAACCGGAGGTCAACCACAGACGCCAGACAACCGTATATTTTTGTTTCGGTTACAAATACTAGTCATTGATGGTGGCCTCCTGGTATTGAGAAATATACTAGACCAGTCCCTGACATCTCAATGCATAACGTTCAGTGCGTGCTTGAATAAAGAACATTCAACAATAACAAATTTGAAAAGCCGCGGCGTTATAACCCAGGTCCAATATGACGTGTTGTTTCCAGCGGGTGGTAAAGTTCCAACTTCGTCAGATTTGGACATCACGCTTATCATTTGTCTTCTTAGAAACCTGAAATGTTTCGGATTAAATAGAAAATTTGACTGGAGGGCAACACCAGCACCAACCGATGTAACAATGGAGGCAGACATATGGCGGTTAAAGGATTTCCGAAATAAAGTAAGCGTTTTATGAAAAAGTTAATGCGAAAGGCAATTCTAAAGTCCTGCCTTGGCAATACAAAAGAATAAAAGTAAATTTCATACAACAATTAAAATGTCTACGTGTTTTAAAAGTTTAAATTTCTTCCAAAGTTTAACTTAAAAATAATTTAATCAATGATCATACATAAAACAAATAATCATAATATGAAATAATACAACACGAAAAAATACGAGGTGTTATTACTGTCATCCAATAGACTAAAATATTACTACATGTGTACTATCATAAAAATAATCCAAGATAAAACTGCCATCAAGATCAAGATCAAGATCCTAGATAATACTGTTATCAAGAAACAATCTGAGATAAAACTGCCGTCATGAGACAATCCCAGATGTTACTGCAGTCAAGAATCCGAGAGAATACTTCCGTCATGAAACAATTAGAGATAATACATCCGCCAAGAAACAATCCGAGATAATACTGTCTTCATGAAACAATCAGAGATAATGTTGTCACTATGAAACAATCCGAGATAATACTTCCTTCATGAAACAATCTGAAATAATACTGCCTTCATGAAACAATCAGAGATAATACTGCCGTCATAAAACAATATGATATAATACAGCCGTCTAAAAGCAATCTGATATATAACTGCCGCCAAGAAACAATCCGAGATAAAAGTGTCGTCATAAAAAATCCGAGATAATACTGCCGTCTAAAAACAATCTGAGATATATATACCGTCAGGAATTAATTTGAGATAATACCGCCGCTAAGAAACAATCCTAGATAATACTTCCAACATGAAACAATCTGAGATAATACATGTAATACTGCCGCTAAAAAACGATCAGAGATATTACTGCCGTCACAAAACAAATAGAGATGAAACATTCCAAGAATAAAACAATGGGAAATAATACTTCCCTCATAAAGCAATCCTAGATAATATTGATGTCATAAACAATCCTACATGATACTGCCGTCATAAAACAATCCTAGATAATATGCTGGCTATCATGAATAATCCTAGATGATACTGCTGTCATAAAACAATCCTAGATAATATGCTGGCTATCATGAATAATCCTAGATGATACTGGCGGCAAAAACAATCCCAGCTATAACTGTCAGGAAACATTACGGGATAATACTGACGCAATGAATCAATCCAAGGTATTACTGCAGTCATGAAATAATCAGAGCTAATACTGCCGCCAAGAAACATATCAAATATGAAACAATCAAAGATAATACTGCCAACATGAAAACACAAAGATAATACTGCAGTTGACATGATTTTTTAACATTTTTATCCGACATTTTCGATGACAATTTTTGAATTATCATTACTGTCATCAAAAATTCCGGGCTTTTATTTATGTCATAAAATAATACATCACGAAATAATACGAGGTGTTATTACTATCATAAAATAGACTAAAATAATACTACTTTAATAAAAATTATCCAAGATAAAACTGCCATTATGAAACAATCCGAATTGTTTGTTTGTTTGGGTTTTACGTCACACCGACACAGTATAGGTCATACGGTGACAATCCAGCTTTACTGGTTGGGGAAGACCTCAGGTGCCCTTCCTTGCACTATTTCATGCACAAAAGGGCACTTGAATTGAACCACCGACGTTCCGTAAGCTAGATTGATAGCTTCCTCACATGAAAAAATCCAAAGTCTCTGTCGGGATTCGAACTCACAGCGATGAGGGGCAAGTGGTTTAAAGTCACCGACCTTAACCACTCGGCCACGGATGCCCACAATCCGACTTAAAACTGTCACAAAGAAACAATCCGAGATAACTCTGCCGTCATAAAACAATCAGAGATGATACTGCCGCCAAGAAACACACAGAAACAATATTGCCGCCAAGAAAACCCGAGATAATACTGCCATCATAAAACAAATACAAATAATACTGCCGCCAGGAAACAATTCAAGATAAAGCTTCCATCATGAAACAATCAGAGTTAATACTGCTGCCAGGAAACAAACCAAGATAAGACTGCCGTAATGAAACAATCCAAGATAACACCCCCGCCATAAATTAAATAGAGATAAAAGTGTCACAAAATAACAATCCGAGATATTACTGCAGTCATGAAATAATCCGAAATATAACTACAGTAATAAAATAATCCGAGATATTACTGCCTACATAAAAATCTGAGATATATCTGCATCCACGAAATAATCCGAGATATTTTTTCTGTCATGAAATAATCCGAGATAATTTTACCGTCATGAAATAATCCGAGATATTACTGCAGTCTTGAAACAATCTGAGCTTTGACTTCGTCATGTGACAATCAAAGCTTTTACTGCTACCATAAAGCATGGGACCTTTTACTGTCGTGATGAAATAATCAGAGCTTTTAATGCCGTGTTGAAACTATACGAGCTTTTAGTGCCGTCATTTAATGATCCGATATATTATTTCTTTTTAATTTCTAAATTGATTGTCATCATGTTTTAACACAATAGCCCTTTTGACAAAATCTTAAAGCATACCATATTATACTTAAACTTGACTCATAAATTACGTGCACCTTGGGTTTTAGCTTAGCTTTGCATAATTTTGTACTGATTTTCGTTTTGTACCTTTTCCATACAATGTTTTACTAAGTAAGGTCTTTTAAACTTCGTTAGCTATTAAGAATTGCATTGTAATGTTCTCTACATATCGTATTCTTGTGGTTTTATTCCCTGCATTTTGTCGCAAACAAAACCTGTATAACTAAAAACACGTATAAACAAATTTGGCATTTTACATTGTACTGTACTGATTACTGCGGACGTAAAAGGGGTCTTGAATCTATGTGTACAACAAATCTACATTACTTTTATATCATAAATTATCAATGCCTCCCTTGAACAGTATTGTTGTTGTTTGTTTTGTTTTGGAAGGGGTAGTGGGTGGTCTGGACTGAGGGTTGCTTTTGTTACCTATGATTTTGCAAATGGTAATTCGAGCTCTTATTTCAGGAAAATCATATTGAGTTTTTCTTACAGATAAGTCATATATCAACAACGACTGCAATACAACAAAATGATTTTACTGCTTGGTGGAATGGTATTGAACAGGTGAGCACATTTCGCTTTCATAGTGTTATTATCTTAATCTTTATAACCTTTCAATCCTTTTTTAAAATGAAGAAAGAGTATAATGTACGGTAAGTAATGTTTTTTCAAAAAGTGTTAACATCAAATGGGATATTAAATTCATATTCCATAATATAATCCATATATATATTTATAATACTACACGTTTGTAACGTCGCTTTTCATTGGATAATCGTGACATATATATATATAGATATATATACACGGCTACTGTCGATTTATGAAAAAATCTCACTTTTTTCTCCACAAAATGATGCTTGCTGTATTATAAACTCGATATAAAGATTGTTGACAGGTTAAATGGCCCTATATAAACGTCAGTTTGCAATATAACCCTCGACTACCGGCTAGCTAGGCAAGGGTTATATCGCAAACAGCCCTTTATATAGGACCATTTATCCTGTTAATACTATTTTTAACTAATAATATATACGTGCTAGATGTAAAAGCAAGCTACAATTTTGATCTTATTCTTAACATTTTCTTCTGTTAAAGTGCCCAATTTCTAAGAAATTCGAATTTTTTTTTTAGACTTTACGTTCTCAGCGGAGTTCCTTTAATTGTTATATAAATTTTGTAAATTTAAGAAATCTCAAATACGATGTGAATGATTTTGACTTATCTATGCGAAAGCTTGGTTTATTTAGACTTAAAAAACATTTACGCTTTTGCAAGTATCAGTATTTTAAGTGCATCACGATTTTCAGGTGTTAAGTGCTTTCAGTGTAAACTTACCTAAATTTGCACGATTACAGATGCAGATATGACCTCTGTGATATCAGTATAAGATTTAGACTTAATATCTTCTTTTCATTCATAGTACGAGTAAACAGTGTTAATTGTTACTTGTCATCAAGAGCCTTTATAATTAAGAGAGCGATTTAAAGACCAACATGACTCTCTTGCTCATCAATTTCTTTTCTGTCTAATATGTTTTATAAACAGATAATTTGTCGGGTCAACATCTTCGATAAACACTAAATATCATCAATCACCGGAGCTTAAATGATAGAGTTGTTATTAAATTCTGGTTTTAGATACTTGTTCGTCAAAGTTCTCCAGCTGTGAATATTCATAAAAAAATTGCCGAATTCAAAACTATCCCTCTTGATCTGGAAGAAGAGAGAAGGATACAGGAAGAAATAAAAAAGTGGAAGGACTATGAAGCCGATGTTGACCGACTGAAACAGGAAATGACAGACATGAAAGAAGATGTAACTGACGTGAAGAAAAGCCTTGAAGATGTAAAGGAAAATGTAACTGATGTAAAGAAAGACATTGAAAACATAAGAGAAAATGATACTGCGGTGAAGAAAGACTTTGAAGACATAAAGGAAAATGTAACTGAAGTGAAGAAAGACCTTGATGAGATAAAAAGACGGCAAGGGGCAGGTTTGTTATTTTTTATCTGAAAATATTTATTGTTCCGGTCTGACAATTATCTTAAGATGACCTTGACAGGTTCGGCCACATCATTAAATTGTGCTAATATCTTCATAATTGTGTAATCAATATACTGATCCGATTAATACTGGAATAAATGTCGCCTACGATAAAACCGTCAAATGTATTAATCTAAGTATGACATTGATTTTTAAAGTCAAATAATTTAAATTTCATACATTTGGCCAAATATTTGTTTAAATGAGTAGATTTAATTCATATTTGAACATAACAACACTGAACAAAACTTTCATGAGATGTGAATCAAGCATGACTTTGGCCTCTATTCGTTCTTTAGAAAGTTCAAAGTTCCGAATACCTCAAAAGTTCCGCATGCAATAGTCCACGTCCAAAACTCAAAACTCCGCATAAAACGCAGAATGGTTTCTGAATTCCGTATGGTAGCATACTTTTTCAAAAATAATACATGTGAAATTCCGCATAACGTCTGGAAATCTGGGCTAAGGCTGACTCTCAAGGACAAATTTTATTGAATTCTGTAAAATTATATAATTAATGCCCATACGTAATCGATATTTAGTTAGTTCTTTAAGGTCTTTTTATCTTTATGAATTTTGCTACCACTTTCTTATTAATTGATTCTGATATTGAGATAAAACAATGTTCAGGGTCAAACTCTCTAATCGAGAAATTCAAAAATGATATTAGTTCAGGTTAAAGGCCTTCAGCAATGTTTTTGCATTGATATAACCAAGTACTAAGGTTTGGTCTCTGCCAATGGTCGCTCTAGTATTAGTACGAGGGTATTCGTCATATTTAGTGATGATGATATTTACTTATTTCAACATATCATTTTTTATTTTTATTTTCTTTTTTGTATTTCATAACAGAGAAAAGTAATGAAACCGATTCAACAGTACAAACAGAGGAGAAAAAATATCAAAATCACAAGAAGGGTAAGTTAATTTTGCACAACCATCATATTAAGTAAAACAATGCTCTTGAGTAACTGTAGGTTGTCAGTACAGTTCACCTTTTTTTTTGAGTGTTGGAGTTGTTTACATCTTTGCAACAATATTTTTGAGATAAAGTGGCATCGAATCAAATGGCAAGGGCAGCCACTGCCGTCCAAATAATTTGCCAGCTAACTATGAAGGGCGTTCGTTGCCAAATTCCTGACATGTAAAGTGCTGCTTTAAACATAACTTTTGAAAATGCTTACCATTTTTATTGTATTCGTGCATAGCACATAATATGCCTCTTAATCCAACCTTTTAATTGAAGGTTCTAGCTTTTATGTTATATAACAAATTTACATATAGTTCGTAACAACTTACCTAACATGGAAAACAACAACAAATTTACAAGTTCGTATCTATCACTGCATATAATACATATGCATGCAAGTTTGCACACTTATAGATATCTATCTGTACCTGAGATATACAAATGAAATGTAGAACTCGAATACAGCAAATATAGTTTAAGCAAACGTATTTCCAGTCGTAGAACTACAAGAGTACGTTTACACAGTAAGATAATTAATATGACAAAAGTAGATTCACAAAGTAATGGTTTTAAGTCATGCTTGACTCCCCGCCCCTTCTTGAGTATTTACGAACTTCTATTGTAGACAGGTATAAAGCAGTTTGATTTGTTCTATTCATGACGGAAAATAGAAAAGTGCAACATCATTTGCGCTTCCTTTCACCGACTATTTAAGCGGCATTCAATTTTCAACACTTAATGTGCAAGGATCATTGATCCGAAAGGACCGGAAAATATAACTGAAAACTGCGAACATACGATCATATATAATAAATGTGTTTGGTTATATTTAACGAGTTTGTAATTGTTTGTATATTTTTTATGATTGCCTGAAATAAAATAAATTGAAATGCCGCCATTAAACAATATTGGAAATAGAATATTGATGTTGTGAATTTTAAACTGAATTAACGTTAAAAGACCGTTGTAAAGTCATCAAAAATTCAAGCATGAAAAATAAAAAAGTCTGGGAAGTAGAGCCATTTTCAATGTCAGATTAAAATAATTCTATGGCAAGAGACTAACCTCTTAATAGGTAATAGGTTCACTTTAACGCTTCAATGTCCGAAATCATGTGATGTACCTGATATGTGACACTTTTTTTAACGAAACAAAGACCCTTATTATTGCAAGCTTATAAACTCTGACACCCATTTTACTTCAGTTATCTGTCCTAAAATGTAGCTTGAGTGTCGGTATACCTTAACTATTTAAACAAACTGCGTAAACTTTTTTATGAAAAGAAAGGCTATATTATTACCTGTAACGTTGGCAATTAATATTTACAAGACACTGTTAATTTCCCAACAATTACTTAAACAACCTTTTTAGCAATGTTTTAAAAACCTTTCTGCGATTTCAATAGAACGGCATGAAAAGCCTTTTTCTGCAAGATGGATAGAACTGTTCGAATAACATGATGTCAGCAAGTGGGG